CTGTCTAAATCAAGGTAAATCTTCTGTACCTTGATTTTATCCATATTCATTGGGGTTTCTTGTTTGTACTGACGTTTGTGGACTCTCCTGTATGGCTACGACTACATATTTAAAGCAAACTGAAGCTTCAGAGAAATTTGAAATATACCTGTAAGCCAATGCATTTCCATAAAATGATATAAATTTTACAGTACCATACCACTACAAGGTTTCATCTTACTTAACTGATCTTCTCTCAACTGGGCCAGCTACCAGACTAGGTACGTTTAAAAAAAATAGCTTGTTATGGTACTTTTTTTTTTTCCATTGCTCACCCCGCTCCACTAAATTTTAAAACCCCTATAAATTTGCTTCATGATATTAAAAGAGCTCGGTTTTTGTGTAGCAAACATTACCTATCAACAGCAAAGCTGCATCCATTACTGCTGCACCGTTCAGCATAGTAGCCATCAGAATATCATGGCCAGGACAATCCACAAAAGAGACATGCCTGTTGTAGAAGAAGGTTAAAAAGAAGTCCAACAGTTAATTAACAATTTCTCTAACTGATTTATGTGAATGACTAGACAGACATAAAGGTTAGAAGCACCCTTAAAATAGATAGATAAATAAACATTTCAAGACAGATGCTGAGAAGTAACAGCTTAAAAATATTTTCGTAAGAACACAAAGACTACAAAAAGGGTGTCTGTGAGGTCCACATTAGTTCTCATTCTAGTGCCTTTAAAATGTATTTAAATTAATAGCAGGAAAATTTCATTTCAGAGTCCTGCAAACACCCAAGGACAGAAGACACAGCTGTGCTCTCCCATGGACTGTGCATCACGACTAATAAAAGCAAGGCAGTTTAGATGATACCTTAGATCGAGGTACCCAGCAGGTAAGAACATGTGGTCTGCCATAACAATAAGTTCACCTTACAGCTCAATCCCAAGTATTTTTTGCTATGTAAAAGGAAGTAAACATACTTTATACCAGTTGTTTTACTACAGTTACCTGACTAGTTTAAAGTTCCCTTTGGTGCCAGGAATGTCTGTAGGGAACTCATCTGGGGTGCTACTTCCACAGGATCGGTAACACTCTGGCCGGGAACAGCTTGGGTCATCCAGCTTGTAAATCTGCAAGTAATTGTTTAAAAAAATGAGGAAAAGTTTAATCCATCAAGGGTTATTTACTTATAAGCTTACACCCACCCTGAAATATATTAGCAACATATCTGGTAGATTTACAGTATAGACTCACCTTTGCATTAGCATAGCCCAGCTTGATTGTAATATTTCTTTCCAGTTCATTTTTAAATCTGACAGTATGAACTCCAGATATAGCTTTGACTACTGTCGACTTTCCATGGGCTACATGGCCAATTGTACCTATGTTTTAAAAGCAAATGTTTGTCAACATATTGTTTAATAGTGTGCAACGTTCCATTACAATCAACACAATCACCCCAAACTCTCTGTAGCCAGTAAGTCCAGAGCTCCCATCAGAAGCATGTATGGGTTTCATAATCATTTTTGTTTAAACAAATAAGATCCTAAATTAAGCTCCCAATGGACAGATCTCTGCATTTTCACGAAACCCATTTCAATGCTTAATTTTATTGTAAAACAAACTTTGCTTTAGCAACTATTCCCTACTTCATCCAAGAATGTTTTTGAAGTAAAATTGGTTCTATTAAAATTAAAATGGTTTGACAACTCTTGTCCTGAGCTTTGACAAAATTCATAATAAAAACATTTTATCTGTATTATTGTCTGTTTCAGTAAGAATTTCTTTAAGATGTTCTCACATAGGTACCATATGCTACTACATGAGCACCAGAAAGAGTTACATTAATGCACCCCTCTTTTTTAGAAATTTGGGTTTACCTATATTAATTGTTGCTTGTCTGCTGATGACTTCTGGTGAAAGAGGTGTCAGCTTGGTAACATCCTGTATGAGGGAGATTTTAGAATTTACTCATCCTAAATATAAATGTTTAGAGAGTATTGTATGTAATTTCTTAAAAATTATCCAGTAGTTCTATTCAGCAAAATCCAACCAAGCTCATTGAAATAATTCTAGATTTGCATTCCATACGTGAAATAGGACCAAAAGTAACAAAATCCTGATTGTAAATTAGTATATGTTGCAAATCAAAACACTGCCTGTAAATTGGTACCGGCTGCGAGGTGTTAAAGAAAGATGGAAGTAAACAAACCAATAAAAACTCAAAAGCTCTAGCACGCAGAACCCCCTTACCCATCCTCAAACTTAAATTACACATAACAAGCTAATTCAAATAAACTTTCTACAGGCTACATGATGAACTGCACGTGTTTTAAAAAACAAAGGTTTGTCAATAAACAGTTGTTTAATTGGTATAAGGTTCCATTATAGTCAATATTTAATTACACTTTAGAGTCAGTAGGTCCAGAGATTTCACTAGCATCATGGATTTAGTTTGTGGTTTTTTTAATGTTTAGTTTTTCCTCAAATCCTGTTATTGCTACTTCGGGTACCAGACAAAAATTCTGCTGTCCTAAATAGCCTGTTGCATGAGCCTACTGGTAGCACTTGGCAAATTAAAATACTTACAAATACATTCCCTATCATTAAAATGACAACTCTGAAAGAGTTGTTTTGTTTTTTTAAAAAGCTGTTTGTTCAAATATTGGACAAATGCTGAAATCCACTGAAATGTTCCTCTGTACTGTTTTTGAAACTGTTTACAGTTAATTTCCATCCTGCACCGAATTCATATGGGTAAGCTGTTCAGTTCACCCAAAGACTCAGGATGCCAAGAGAGTCCTCAGTGCAGGAACAGGATATAAATATTTTGCTGAGACACAAGTAACACATATATATTAATTTACATTAAATCATACATTGTTTATACTGTTACATGCAGGTCCTGTGTATAACAATCAAATAAACACATCTGTGTTAAGAGCGTAAGCTTCCTCATTCTATTCTTGAGTATTACATGTTCAATACAAGCCAAGTTTTGTCCACCTGACACAGGCAATTTAGTTTATATCACTTGCATATCTAACTTGAAATGAGTACACACACTGAAGTCAATGATGGGAACAGGACCTGCAGATGGCACCATTTAGCAGGGTGACAAGCACATAAGCATGATGCAAACCCTGTCATCAAGAGAAATGTTCCTGGTCCACACAATTATGCACGCCTGCAATTTTTTTCCTTGACGCTGGTATAAGGCCAAATTCAGCTATAAGCTCCAGTCAACTGTAAGCATTCAAGGGCCAACTGAAAAAGTACAGTATAGGCCTTAAAGGCAATCCTACCAACCTCCCAACTAGGCTTATCTGTGCTCTTTCTGAGCATGCCATGGTCAAAAAAGAAAGCAAAGAAACTTTTGAAATTACTAACATGCTTAGCTATAACGCAAAAAGAATTATTGTGCTCAAACCTCATCAAACACTATTACTGTGAAGACAAACAAGTCCTTCTAGTTTGTCGAACACCAGGGAGGCAGCACCATGACTTCCAACTGCTTTTGCCTGTGTATAATTGTAGTAAGTGAGACAGCCCAGGTAAGACATTTAACAGGTAAGCTACCACAGCAAGAGGCCACTGCAACCGATTTTCTTGGTAGTCAAGAAAATTTTCTTGGTAGACCAACCACGACAAGGGTGGCAATCAATCCTTCCATCCCACTAGGGAAACAAAACACCAACGTATGGTTCTACTTGAGAGAGAGAAGAACCTTTAACAGAGAAACCCTTTAACTGAGAGAACCCTTTACGAGGGGGAAACCACCCATCTCGCACAAAGGTGGCTTCGGTCGCAAAACCGGGACGCCAACCCACCGAGCTTCGGACTCACCTCAGCAGCAGGCCAAGCGCCTCATCCCGACAAACCCAAACCCTTTGCGACCAGCCCAACCTGCTCCCCGCGACTACCGCCACCTTCCCCTTCCCCCAGCATCGGCGTGCTGCAGCTCGGACTCCCCCCACCCCACAAGCACCGCCGCCTTCTGCGCCCCCTCAGACCTCAGCGGCCCCGGCGGTGGCGGCGGGGCCTAGAGGGAGGCCCGGATCCCCTCAGCCTCCGACCGCCGTGCCGTCCCCTCCCCACAACGGCGCGCCCGGCCGCCCCGGCCTCCCCAGCCCCGGCCTCCCCAACCCCGGCCCCGTCGCCCGCATCCGCTGATTCTCGGCATCCCCGCCCGCATCCACCTGCCCCCCGTCCCGCGGGGCGCCCGGCGGGCGGGCCTCACCAAGGTGGCGAGGTCCTGCCGGCTGAGGTGCGGCTGCCCCAGAGTCACTCCCGCCTCGTCCCCCGCCATCTTGGCCCGAAGAGGAAGCGAGGAGGCTCACGCGGCCGCCTGACCCCCGCCTCCGCTCGTCGCCGCCCCCTCCGCCGGGCCTCAGCCCGGCACCTTCCAACCGGGAGGCAGACACCCGGCTCGCCGACCCGCCGCGCTGGGGGGCGCGGGGTCGCCGCCGGCCTCGCCGCGGGTAGGCAGCGACTCAGGCGCGCCGCGGGGCAGCCCCGAGAAGGACCCCTCCACCCCACAGCGTCGCCCTCGCTCCGGGTGATGCAACCCGGCCCTGCCGCAAGGGCTGCGCCGCGTGCGGCTCGCGCAGGCGCGGGGCGCCGGGGGAGGGGCGCGCGTGCCGCCTGCCGCCGGGTAACGGTCGTGGGCTGAGGGGGGGGGACGCGGGGCTGCTGAGGGGAGGCCCCGGGGCGGGCGGGAAACGGGAGGGAAACGGGAGAGGGGTTGAAAGGCAGCGCTAGGGAGTCCGTGCGGGTGGTGTGACACGCAGCCCTGCCGGAACAAGCGTCTGGGGGGATCGGCGCTTCTGAGCCTTCCTGTGGGGAGGGGGGGTCGGCTTTTGTCTCCGCGTCAGGGCCGCGGTTACCCTCTGCTAGCGCTGGGTGCCTACGTGCCTGAAATACCGTCATCGCTTCGGTAGGGCGGTCAGGATGGGGACCTAGTTTGGCTGAAAGGTACACACACACCAAAAAAAAAAAAAAAATCCTACATTTGCGGTTTGTGCATCAGCATTTGTTGATGCGTGTCTCACAGCATGGCAGTGTTAGGTTTATTTGGGGCAGTGGGGCGGGTGTGATGGAGAAAGGAAGATGGGGGTAAAATGGAAGAGAAGATACACTTGTGTGTGCCGGGAATGAGCGTATCTAATTTGATGTCTGATCAGCTTAGCCGCTTGAACAGTAAAATGTCACTCTGCATATGTTAGTAATCTCTGCTGGCCGTGAGCCCGATAAGATTTTGAGTTTCAACCTTTTCCTTGTTACTGTCTTTAGTAGACGGAGTGCTTAGTGTTAGGGAGACCATATGGGTATAAGACCCTGGCCCAAGATAGGAACAGCTTGAATCTTTTGTACCGAACAGCTAAAAACCCCACCAAATGTGTGCTGTGTTCAGAGTTGGGTATGACATAAATGCTTTAAAAATCTAGTAAAATCCCTGATCCAGTGATGAGAGCCAGTTAGAGATTCAACAGAGACTAAAGGCCAAATTCACAGCTGTCCCCCGTGGGAAATTTAATTGACTTCTCCTTCATGGAAACTTCTTAAAGGCATAAGAGGTTGTTGTTACTAATAGGATTTCTTTGATGATCAGAGAAACAGGTTTCAGTGTAAGCAACCAATTACATCAAATACGTGCACGTTCATTGACAGTGGCTTTGCTTACTGGAAAATGTAATGGTTCTCAGATTTTTGCCTGGCTGACTGCTCGGGTCACAAAAACAGGTTTGGAGCAGACACCCATGTGATTGAAAAGCGATGATGGAAATCTGTGTGAAACTGGTATGCCTGGTTTAACAAAGCTTGTAACCTCCCACTTTTGCAAATACAACTGTTTCCATTCTTTCCTGATACAAGAGTTAGTAGTGAGTTCTGCTGGATATACCTAGAGCAGCTACATTGCCAGCATTCTTGTTTTGAAGAATTTAACATGTGGTAAGAAACTTTATGTATAATGCTGTTGGCAACGACAAAATGTTTTTGTCTTGCAACCCAATACTTTTGCACATTGGTCTGGAAAATAAATTTTCATATCTAATTTTTCATCAAGCCACATGGTGTTTTCAATTCTATATAAAATATCTCACTTCTGGGAAAAATAATCGAGGCTTCTGACTGAGATACACAAAGTATGGTGGGAACATGATGCAATACTTGGTTGTAGTTGCCTTGACGTCCAGGCATGTATAATCACTCTTTTATGAAAATGAACTGAAAATACTAGGCTCTGTAGTTACTTAGACATTTAAATTATGCAATAATGCAGTGCACTGTAAAATTATGGAAACAGTTTTTGTTACATTTGCAGCAGCCTTTAGAAAGGATTTAATCCTTGCCAAGAACTCTGTCAGGAATCTGAGAAAAGAAAAAAAAAAACACCAAACAACTGTTGCTGCTATTTTAACAATGAGATTATACATTTTACATATTCTGTGATAGTCTTGTTACTTTGATTGACTGTATTTGGGAATATTTGTGGCATGAGGAAAAATGAGAAAAGTCTAAAGACTGTGAATGTCAAAGTAGGTTAAAACATTTCTAGGAGTTGTCAAGTATATTATGCATATATGTTGAAATTATATAATGTTTAAAATTACTCAAATTAAATGGTAAATAGCATATAGCGCAAAAATGTATGTCCAGAATTTTATTTATTGCAATAATCTCATTTAAGCCTGTGGGAACTACTTAGTAGCTGATTGTGTACAGGTGCCTAAATCAGAGGCATCAGCCCAAATCTCTGTGTAAATTAATATTAACTACGGCAATGTTGACACCACCGGTCATTACTGAGGGCCCAAATTTAAGAGTCTCACATTTTTACTTAGGATATTACAATTGAGGTGTTATTAGCATATTTTGATTTTTCAGTAGAGGCAAGTTGTTCAATGTGAAGGAGAAGGGGGTGGAGTTTGGGGTTTTTTTGCTTGTAAATGTTGAGAAGTATGTCAAAACCACCAGGCTTTTTGTTGTTGTTGTTGGATAGGTTTGAGGTCGTCTTCTGTGGCAGCTTGTAGGAGAGACCTGAAGATCATCTTACGCCTCAGCTTGCCACAAACTGCGAACAGCAAAATGACAGTCAGGTAAATCAAAACAGTCCTGCTTAGCTTTTCTACAGGCTCGCTGACCTACGGAAGGTCGAAAGTCCAAAGAGGGCAGAAGGATGCATGAAGTTTTGGTTGTATCACTTCTGTGTAGGAAAAGTCCTGCTTAGCTTTTCTACAGGCTCGCTGACCTACGGAAGGTCGAAAGTCCAAAGAGGGCAGAAGGATGCATGAAGTTTTGGTTGTATCACTTCTTACTTTCCTTACTTTCCACTCCAGGTTTTTCTTTGCCGAAGCACGAGATGCGAGTGAGCACGTGCTTAGCGCAGCAGAAGATGTGGCCAAAGAGTAAGGGAGGGAATGTCTTTCCTTTGGGACTTAGGTGGCAGGGACGGGGGCTGCCTTGGCGGAGTCGGTACGGAAAGGTCGGTCGCTTCGCTGTAAGCTCACGAGTGACAGGTTCTCATGGTGACTGGGGAGAGTAAGCGGGTGCGGTGGAATAGTGTGGAGTTTGAGTTGGGGGGTCGGGATGAAGGAGGGAGGGGCAGCAGGTCGATGGCAGCGTGGAATGAGCAGGCGGTAAGGGAGCGGTAGGGGGGCTGCCGAAGGGAGTGGGAATGGCAGTGGGAAGTCTTTTGTGGGGAGCGGGCGCGTGGAATCGCGGGTTCATTGTGTGAAGCTGTGACAGGTGGGAAGGACGTTCAGGTCGGGGGTGGCAGCTATAGAGGAGGTAACGGCTCCCGTTGTATAAATGAAGAATGGGGTGGGGGTGGTAATGAGAGACTGAAAATAGGCAACGGAGGGGATGGGAATGGCAATAAACAGGGAGAGGATGGCAGCGCGTGGCCCGCTATTTAAAGCGGTGAGTGACAGAGGTGACAGGGAGGTGCGTCGCAGGTGGCAAACGGTTTGGGGGTGGCAGTGGCAAACCAGAGGTCTGCATGGTTTAGCTCACCACTTAAAATGAAATCGGAATTTGCCAGGTGAAGGCAGGATAGCACAGACATCAGCTCCTTGCCTTCTCTAAGGCAAATCCCTGTTTGTCCCACGCTGGGCTGCCCTCCGCCTCCCCCCCGAGCAGCCTGCAGGTTGTGGCCATGCCCAGCACCAGTGGCCGTGGCCCTGACCCACCGGGGCTCTGGTGACCTGGTTCCCACGCTGGCCGGGCAGGAGCCCCGGGAGGAGTTCAGCCCGCTCGGAGCGGGGGTGGGCTGCGGCTCAGCGCCCCCCGGGGCTGCCGCGGGAGCGCTGAGGCAGGGGGCCGTGGTTTGCAGCGGGAGCCGGCCCGGAGGCTGCGGGGTGGCGGGGGAACAGCACACCCTGGAGCCACCCGAAGCGCAGCCAGATGCAGACGGTGCTTCTTCTTGATGCCGCGTCCCCGAGGCCCGGCCATGTGCAGCCTCCGCTAGGCTCCGGTAAGGGGCTCCTCTTCCCCGCGGCTGCCAGTGCGGGCTGGCGGGACCGGGGCCGGCCTGGTACCGGCCGTCTGACACAGGGAGGTGCCGGTGGGACGGGGCAGGCCGCCGGGCGCGGGCTGACGAGCGGAGCGGGGCTGGGCTGCCCGGAGGCGGGGGCGCGGCGGTGGCTTTGCCGTCCCGGGCAGCCGCTCCCCCCTCAGCCCCCCCCTTCCCGCCGCTGGACTCGCAGGTGGCGGCGGAAGTGACGGCCGCGCGGGGTGCCGGTGGCGGGGGAAGATGGCGCCTGCGGCCGCGCTAGGCAGCGCAGAAGGTAAACAAGTGTGAGCGGCGGGGGGCGGGCGGGAGCGGCAGGGACCCCGGGGAAGAGGCCAGGCCAGGCAGGGCCGAGGAGCGCCGGTGCCCGGGCGGCGCGGCACAGGCACGGCACAGCGGGGGGGCGGCTCCCCACCTCCTCCTGAGCGCGGACCGCGGGGAGGAGGGAGCCCAGGATCCCCCCTTCCTCTTCCTCCGCCTCCTCCTCCTCCCGGCTTTGCCTCAGCCATTGCCCCTCTCTTCAGCCCCCCGGCGCCTCCCTCCGCCGCCGCCCCCGGCTTTATGTTACACAGAGGCCCCCCTCTTTGCCGGTCCAGCGGGAGGAGCCGCGTCTTCAGCGCCGCCGCTGCCGAGAGGTAGGTGAAGCCGCCGCCGGGGTCTCCCGGGTGTTCCCGCCGAGGGCGGCCCGGGCCCTTTTCCTGGCCTTCAGCGACCCTCCTCCCCCGGTCTCGGCCGGCCGAAGCGGGGAGGGGCGGCGGCGGCAGGGCAGGCCGCAGGGGGGCGGCGGGGCCGCGCGGGCGCCGTTAGAGCGGGGCGGGGGATGGCGGGAGGGCTGCGAAGGGCGGCCGCTGCGGCGTGCGGGGCTCGGGCTCCGGGGAGGGAAGGGAAGGGAGCCCGGCGCTGAGCGGGCGGCGGGGAGCTGAAGTAGGTCACCTCCGCGCCTGCCCCTAAAGTGACTCCGGGGCGGTGGGCGACGCTGGGGGAGCAAAACGGGATGTGTGGACAGAACGGGAGCCCTACTGGAGCCCTGGCCTATTCGGTTAATACTTAAACGTCGCTTAAAAAGTTAAAGGTTTTAAATATTTTTTTTATTTCCTCCTCCAGAAGAAGAATAGGGGAAGCTATAAAGCTGTTACTGGATAAAAGGGCAGAACTACCCAAGTCTGGCTTCCTCTTGACTTCTTTGTTGTGTGTCCCAGTCCCTCAGATAATAGCCCAGCTCTCTCACCACCGTTGCCCCGGTTCACACCCGGGTCCCCTCGGCGTACCACCGTGTGCCAACAGCCTCTCTGCCCTCTTCCTCCCCACACCTAGCCGACCTGTTTAATTTCTACCACATGGACTATAAACTTCCCCACTGTCACTCATCTCCTTTCACTTTCCTTAATTATACCCTGTGGCTGGTCTGGATTTACACACGCGTTGATTTGCTTTTCAGCAAGCAGAGCAGAACAGATAACTGTTGAGCTCACGCTGGAGAGGCTGGGTCTTTTTCATTTATCTCGCTGCCAATTTGAGGGAATTTTTTTAGGGATTTGATGTGTTTGAGATTTCTGTCTTCCTGAAAAACGTGGCTGACATTTGGCAGTGAGATCAAAAGCTGTATTTCTTGAACAAAAGGCAAAATTTCAATCTCATTTTCTCAGATGTTAAAAATATTAACTAAGTAAGCAAAAAATATACAGATAATAAAAAGTAAGGGGTAGTTCAGCTATCTTAATTTAGTTTAAAATTATTTTTACTAATATAGTTTAAGTACTAGTTGTATCTCATTACGCTTTTATTATGCTAAATGTTTGTGTGCTAAGAGTAAGCACTTTGATGTAAACAAGTAAAGGGTAGAGCAGTTCTCTCTGCTTTGAGAGCAGTGGCAAATCTAGTTTTCAACACTGCCATCATTTAACTCTTAAGTATTAGTGATACAAGTTTTTCTAGTTAAGACAAAATTTTTTTATACTGGGCACCTGTTCTGGTAGCAGTAAATAGAACTGGAAGAGCATTGAGCTGAGCTTGCTCTACGTTCAAGAGCATGGTTTTTTCTACAGGTCTAGTAATGCAATGATCTTTTAACCAAATGGTTTAAAATATCTTAGTGTCTGGAGTGCAGTTACATCATCCACATAAAGTACGATGAGAAACTAATGCGTATCTCGTTAATGTTAATTCATGAGGCGGAAGCTGAGTTTAAATTCAGTTAGGTGAAGTTAAACTGGTCAAGTAACTTCAGCTGATGAATGTCTGGTAGTCTGAAAATGTTTGTCGGGCATGTACTTTTATCAGAATCCTTTAGAAGTCATCCTAAAGCTTATTTAAGGGCTGACTTGGGGAACATATTTTATCCTCTGGTGGTTAGTGTTGTACAGTGGGAAGTTTCTGATGTAATCAATTAGTATTCATCTAAATTCAACATAGGTGAAAACTATACTCTTTGACAGTATTTTGAAACAAAATGGTTCTGATCTTTTGTGTCTGTGCGTGCTTGTAACATTTGGGTTATTTTCTGCAGAAAGACTGAATTTGATTATAATGCCAGCTTTTAGAAACAGAGAGTAATATGAGTTGAGAACCCTATCCATTATAAATACATGCATGTGAGAGCATCCACCTGAGTTAGACGTTTCTCAAAAAGAAAATGGAACTAAAGGCTCTCTCCTAGTACTCTTATCTGTAAAGACTACTTGGCAGTACTCGCTGTACTTAGAGTGACATATAACTGTACTGAGCTGAGACACAGTCTATACTGAGTTTTCGTATTTTTGGTTCTAACTAGTCCTGATAATGCTTCTAGAATAACCATAATGACCTCGGAGACAACTGATGTGTTATGAAAGTGCTGCTGTTGTTATGACCTGATGCAGGTTGCTCAGAGATAGCAACGTGGACAGAGATTGTAAGAGGATCTGCCAGGGTCAGATGCGTGCCCCAAAGAAATTCTTCATGCACTGTGGACAGTTTTCAGGAGTATCCAAGTTTTAATTTCTAGAGTTCTGGCAGTCTGGTTCCTGTGACTGGCAGCGACCGGTAAACTCCTAACTTCTTGTTTCTAAAGTAATCCAGTGGTTTTGGAATTCTCAGCAAGGATTGGGGTGAAGTCTTTCATGTATACCTACCAATGTCTTTAAGATAAGTTGTTTTCCCATCTTAGCATACTAATTATAAAGGATTTTAGATAGAACACATATGACCTTGCTGTGTTTCTTTGTTTCCTACATTTGCAATTGTAGCGATGGAATGTTTCAATACCCACCAATTATTGATCTATCTCACTTTTACATAATTTCTTCTGTTGCTGTTAGCAGGGAATTATGATAAGAACTGGTGATTCAGACAAGGTTTAATGGTTTTAGTGTCAAACTGTGTAAACAAAGTTTGAATTTGGGGGATAAGTTCTTTACACTGTGTAAGTGTATGTTGATACACTCATTGCATTCTCATCTATTGCAGCACACTGCATTTAAAGGCCTGGTTTTTAGTGACGAGTATGTGCAGTTGAGAATGTTTTTCTTGTTTGTGCAAATGCCTGTGCATACTGTATTTTCATACGTGTGTATAACATTCGACTATGGAGAAATGTCCTATTTGTGCAGG